CTCTGTCCTCTGGCAGGACTTGCTTTCTTAGAGCCTTCTGGTCTCGGTTGCGTAAATGTTTCCACCCCAGTCTCCTTGCTCCTGACAGACTTCGGGCCAAGTGGCCCGATGAGTCACCGTGTCAGCCCGTGTCCCCATACGTGGCTGGGCGCAAGCTTGCACAGACGCTGGGTGTGGCATGCAACCTGGGACTGAGGTCAAGGGTGCGTGTGGGAGCCTCTGACCACCACCCGGGGTCTGGGCAGGGCGTGCAGCGGGCCGCGTGGCCCTCTGCCGACCACACTGCTTCTGTGGAGACCCCCTCCTTCTCCTCCCTGCGGCCCCGACTCAAACTCCAGGAACTATCCTGAGAGTCTTTTGTGGGTGTTGGGGAAAATAGCCTCATTGGAGGATAAGGATAAAAAAGGTTTCCATTCTGCCTCTCTTGAGCCTTTCAAAGAATGTGTGCCTTGCCTGTGTTTCCTGGACACACTTACTGGCTCAGGCACACCTCCAGCAGACAGGGCACCTCAGGCCCTGGAGCTCCCCTTTCTTACACAGTGGGTGTGGTTCCGTGGCTCCTGCCCGGGGCGGAGGGCCCTGCCTCGCCTGCCATCCCCACAGCCTTTGTGGGCACGTCTGCTTGCCTGGGAGCTCATCAGGCGATCATCATCCCCACCTAGACTGTCATCATCCCAGCAGGCAGAACCCCGCAACGTGACATGGGGAAGCCCAGGTTTTCGCTTGCTGGGCCTGTGATTTGAGGCAAAGGACTAACGCCCTGGCTTGCACCCAGCATGCATCTGTGTCTCTGCGTGGCGGCTCGATGCAGATTTTGTCAGACCAGGTGGCCCAGTGCAGGGTACTAGGTCTGTTCCCTCCCTCCGCTTGGTAGAGGCTTCAGGGGGTCAGGACCTTCCCTCCCAGCATCCACCTCACCCTGAAGGCCAGCTGGACAGGGAGCCGCTTGTGCAGGAGGCTGGCAGGACCTGCGTGGTCTGAGCACTCGCACCTTCCTTCCCAGGCTCCTTGCCCGCCCCCCCAGCACAGAAGCCCAGCCCCACCCCACAGCCGTCAGAAAAGAGCCCTGCACCCCGGGTTCCATGCCCCACGAAAATGTGTGGTTCCCGACATCCCTGCTGTGAGACGCACGTTGTATTCTGCCAGATTGCGACGCCTGCGTAGTTTTGCTGCAGAAGGAAACCCCAGAGCAGTGACTTACTGGCAGCTTCAGTCAACGCCTGCATGCGTTTCTGGCAGTTGACAGACCTTTTCTAGCTCCTTGTTCAGGAGACCAAATTAGGGCCACTATTAATCTTCCCTTAATGAGGGGATCTGAGCAGCCTGCTCCACCATCCCCAGTCCACAAAAGCTCGAAACATACATTTCTTTACTTTTCATTGAAACCAGCCAATAGTATAAACAGACTGGTTTTCAGAGAGAAACGGCTGCTGCAGTGCCTGGCTACCTCGAAACAAACACCACAAATGCGAACCCCAGAACCAAAACGGACAGGCGAGCGGGAGGGTGGGTGCTGCCTCCCGCTTGGCACTCACCTGTGCAAAGGCCCTGCTCCAGCTCCCTGCCGAGGTTTGGTGTTCGAGGTTTGGGGTTCAGGGGTCGTACACGGCTCAGCTAGGGGTCCCGCTTTGGAGGAAGAGGGCACTGCTTCCAGCCTCACCCTCTTCTTCAGTTCTGTGCTCATGGAAAACAGGCAGGCACTGAAACCCACAGCTCTGTAAGGAACATAGCAATTCGGCCTTAAGTCACTCAGACCACACGCCGCATGTTAAGCCAAGTATGGTGTGGCCATGTGACCTAGAAAAATTCAAGTGGACCTGGGGAGGGAGGTAGCTGAGTGCTGCAGACAGAAAGGCAGTGTGCGCATCTGCTGCCCTGTGAGCCAGACCAGCAGCGGTTTTCCTGTGGAGCCCACACGCTGGCCCATTCCAGAACAGTCCCTCCCAGAAAGCAGGCAACGCCTGCTCTGAATATAGGACCCAAAACCCCACCCAGAGAGCGAGGGAAGTGCTGACAACCTGTGCAGCCAAAGAAAGGCCTCTGGAGGTTCCCCCAGAGCCCTCAGCTCCAGGACCCTGGGGCCTCTGGCCTAGGGGCCTTCCTTCTGCCCCGACGAGGGCTGGAGGGGTGGACGGCAGGTGGCCGGAGTCCTGAGCTTCTGCCTCATCGCCCTGCAGGCCTGTGCCTGGACTCTCGGGCCCCGCAGAGTTGGGGCGCGGTTTCCCGAAGGACCATCTGAGAGCAGATCTCCCTGCGTCTGGTCACCAGCACCCCCCTCGTGGGTGGCTTGCGGAGGAGGCCGGGCCGGGGAAGGTAAGAGCTTTGGAGGGCTAACTGAGGATGGGGTCAGCAAAGCCCTGAGCAGTGGGGGCGTCTGGAAGTGACCTGGCCCCCAGATTCCTGAAGGAGGGAGGCTTTGCCAAGAGGAGGCAAGAACTCAGAAATGGATCTGGAAACTTGCGCCTGTTCCTCTCTCTAGCTCCCCCCCGCCCCCCAAAGCCCTAGTCTGAAACTTAAAGTGCGCATTCCACTTTAAATGCCGCCCCCACTTGGTGGCCATGTCCCTTTTATGAAGCTTTCCCTGTGTGAGACGTAGAGAAGGCGGGGAACTTTCTAAGCAGCGCCCAGTACATCTGGAGTCTGACGGCGTCCACAACCCACGTGAGCTCTGTGGAAAACCCATGGAGGTGCCAGGGAGGCTCTCAGACTGAGCCTGGGCCCGAGGGACTGCTCACTTGGGAGTGGGAGGCTCATGGAGGTTGAGGACCACTGAGGGGGCTGATCTCCCCTGGAGATGGGAAGCCTGCGGCTGCAGGGGCAGCAGGCTCCTGTCAGTCTCACCGTCCTGGGTTCTCCTCCCCGCTTCCTGGGACCCCACCCCATCCTGTGCAGCCCTGGAAGGACCCAGCCTTGGGTCAGACACTGATGGAATGTGTGGGGGCCAGTGTGGGAGGGGGGGTCTAGAGCTACCCTGACAGTGGAACACCTCCCTCAGCCTCCTGTCCGGCTGGGAGAGCAAGCCTGGCACAGGGCTCTCAGGGCGCCCGGCCCCGTGCTGACCCGAGTGAGCGAGCCCGGAGTCAGGGAGGCATCCACGAGCGTGGCAAGGTCGCTGGGCTCCGAGGGAGAACGTCCAGCTCCGGGCCTTGCTCTGCACTTGCAAGCTGGTGACTGCGGGCTGGTCCCTTCCGTAGCTGCACATGGTGGTTGTAAGGACCCCATGAAACGATGGAGCCTGTGGGTTGTGTGGGACCAGGACAGGGCCCGGGGCAGGCCTCCTGGGGACGGCAGTAAAACGGGAGGCCTGCCATTTTCCTGCATGGATGGGGCCAGCTCGCTGGACGTGCTGTGTGCCTCGTTCCTGGCCTGCAGACCCCCCCGTCGCCCAGGCTCCCTCGATGCCAGCTGCAGACGCCAGCGAGGAGGCACAAGCTCACACATGAAGAGCTCGTTGAATGTGTGGAAACAGTGAAAGGAGGATGAATGGGGGCCTGACTTCACTTCCTCCCCTCCCGAGCCCTGGACCCGCCTCGGTCAGTCTGGGGTGGGTGTCCGACTCAGTGGGGACTGCACCCAGGTCACTCCTTATCTCCTCATTTCTCCTTTACACGGCCCTGCCCTGTACTGAGCAGGCAGCTGGCAGCTTGTTTTAAGGAGCAGTGGTTCACCCTGTGCGTCCCCCTTTCCCAGGATGCGTTGTCAGCGTCCTTGTGTGGTGGTGCTGGACGGTCGGGCTCCACGTTCTTCATGGCAACAGCACCTGCTCTTGGCTTGGCCGACGGACACCTGCCATGCCGTGCCGTGTGGCTTCCCCAGATGTTCCTTCCGTTCAAAACCACATCCATGTTCACAGCATCCAAAAAGTGGGAGCTGCCCACGTGCCATCCATGGATGGAGGGACACACAAAGGGGTCCATTCGCACAGTGGAGTGTGACTCGGCCACGAAAGGGGGCGGGGCTCTGACACCCCACAGCCTGGACGAGCCTGGCAGACACGTGGTGAGAGGTGCTGGGCGCAGAGGACCACAGATGAGCCCACTGATGTGAAGGGTCCCCGGAAGCGCATCTGCGGAGACAGGAAGCCAGGCGGGGCTGGGGGTTACGCTGTGTCATTCCCTGTGGTACCAACGGAATGACCCCTTTGTTTTGACTTTGTCACTCATAAGACACTTTTACATGTTTAAAAACAGTCTTATCTGAGGTATATGTACATATTATTCACCTGTTTTAAAAGTATAGTTCAGTGGTTTTTAGTGAATTCAGGGTTGTGCAGCCATCACAATATACTTTAAAACACTTCCCATCTCCAAAGGCTGTGCTGCCCATCGGGTGGTCCCTGTTCCCGGCTCCCTGTCACCCTTGTCATTGCACTGTTTGTTTTGCCTTCCTTGTCGTGCTGCTGTTGAATCAGCAGAGGAAGGGAGGGGAAGCTGATTGGGGATTTATGAGTCTCAGCTCCAGCTGGGCCGCTGCCTGGGGGTTTTGCTCGGCAGGTTGTGGGCTCAGAGGCCTCTGGGTGGCGCTGACCAAGGTGCTGACAGGCCAGCCTGCGGATCTGGGGCTCGTGGGGAAGCCAGTGGTCACCTGCCCAAGGCCCACCGCCCTGCCTGCTGCGTCCTGTGTCTCAGCCTCATCCCGGCCTCAGGCGGCCTGGGAGTCCTGGACATGGCACCTTGGACAGGCCCGAGGCAGCTGCCGGGGCCTCAGGCAGGGGGCCTCTTCAGATGCTGGGGGTTTGGGCTCGTGGACAAATTTTTTCTGAACGGAGTATTTTACAGTTGTTTGCATGTCTCTTACCCCTACTTCTGTTCCCCCCACCCGGCTTTCTAACAGCAGGCTGACGGGCAGTCCCAGCGTATCAGAGGCTAGACCCGGTGGCCAGTGGGCCCTGCATGAGTGGGCCCCAGGGCGACCGGCCAGGGAACTCCTCAGCGCTACCGCCATTCCTGTTGCCTCTTTTGATAAAAAGTTGTTCCCAAACCCCCATCATTCTTTAAAGTCTGCATTATCGATTCTTTGTCTGTGCCCCTGACATGCAGTACATGTACCAAGTATTTGGCTTGGAGATGAGAAATTCAGTGTGGAGTCGCCATGTAAACATTGTGCATGGTCACTAAGCAGAAATCCAGTGCCCACACCCATCTTTGCTCCTTACCCCCATGGGAGCCGGGTCCTGTGGACTCCAGTGCTGCCCCTGGGGCTGCGTGGGCCTCTCACGGCCAGTGTGTGCATGTGCATGTATGTGTGCATATATGTGTGTGTCCAGTACACGTGTGTGTGCATATGTACGCATGCCTGTGTGTATGCATGTGTGCATGTGTGCGCGCTCATGTACATGCATGTGTGCCGAGTAGCACTGGTGGACTGAACACCTCTCCATTGCTTCTGCGGGCGGGTTTGTAAAAGCATTTTTGGGAGTTCTGAGAGCCGCATGGACAGGGGACAGTTTCTGCAGGGTACTCCGTCCTCCTGGTGTTTTGGGAACACATGACGGGTACGCTGTTTTGCTTTCAGCAGCTGGTTGGGGGTGAAAGCCTCCGTAGAAGTCACTAAATTATGTCGTGTGCTCACCACATAGCACCTGTGACGCCTGTGAGCAGCCGCCTGCATGGCACGATGGGGCCCCCTGCACCCCGCCGCGCCTCCTCTCTCCCACAGGCCCCCTGCACCCGTTCTCCCTGGGCTCCTGAGGCCGGCATTCCTAGGTCCTCGAGAGTGAAGGTCCACTGGCAGCCACTGGGTGGAGCTCCACAGACACACTGCTCTCAGGCTGTGAGCGTGTTCACCCTGGGAGCTGATAACTTAACAATGCGCAGCTCTCAGTTCTACAGCATTCCGAACGTTAGTGTCTTATTTCTCAGGTTAACATAATGCTAATGGTGACGGGCCCAGAAGAGCCTCTGGGTGGGTGGTTTTAAAATATGCTGCTTCTCTCCTCATGAAACAGTTGTGTTGTTGACGTGTCCTTTACACAGGGAAGTAAGTGCCCTGAGCGGAAGTGTCCAGTTTGAGGGGTGTGGACAGATGTGCACACTTGTGTAGCATCCTGACCCAGACACAGGACATGTCCGTCATTCCAGGAAGCTCTGTGTCCCGCCTCGCCCCCTGCAGCCTCCCATCTGCCCGAGACCTGCGCACACCGGGGGCCTGGGTGTGCACGTGTGTCTGCGTTCTGCAGCTGGTCCATGGGGTCGTGCGTGTCAGCAGTCCTTCCTTCTCACTGCTGAGCAGCAGGCCACACAGGCTTACCTGGTCACCTGTTGATGGACAGTTGGGTCAAATCCAGTTTGGGGCCCTTATGCCAGGAGCTGCCATGACTGTCCCTGGGGACACATTTTTACCTCTGCTGGGGGAGCACCTAGAAGTGGGACTGCCGAGCTGACACGACCGTACGTCTAACTTCACAAGTGAGCAGGTGACTGCCATGTGGTTGTGCCGTGTCACCCCCTTCCTCCCCTGTCAGTCACAGCACCGTTAGTTCAAATGATAGGTCTTGGGGAAACCCAGTGGGTGTCAGACGGGGAAGGTGGGCAGGAGGCCCCAGCCTAGTGTGCAGACGGGATGCACAGGGAGAAGGGCTCCCGATGACGCCAGAGGCCAGCGCCAGGCCAAGGCAAGTCGGTGGAGGGCCCTAAGCTCCTCTCTGCCTTGTGCTTCCGTGTTCCTCAGGTTGAACCACAGAGAACCCTCACAGCCCAAGGGGCCCCACAGAAGGCTCTGCATTAAATGTGTCTGGGAAAGGCCTTGAAGCGGTGACTGCTCTTGGTCAGGCCAGGGCTCCTACAGAAAAGGTGCCGTGGGACTCACTGCAGCGGCGTTCCCAGACGCCCTGCCTTCTCTCCTTCCCTGACACTCACTACTGCTGTTCGCTGTATTCCTCTCCCCTCATCCTTGGCCCCTGCAAACTGACCTGTGTGCTGGGAAGCATCTGTGGTCCTGACCTCAGTGAGAGGTATGGAAGAATTCCAGCATTCCATTCCCCAGCCAGGGTGCCTGGGCCGGGGTCCGCGTCCACGTCCACATGCTGGCCTAGGTGAGGGTGGGCTCCAGGGCAGCTCCCTAAACTTAGCTTCTGTTCTGTCTGTGAGAACAGGTGACATGACCCACCTCTCAGTGAAGTTAAGGGTGTTGCGTTTAGGGTTATAAGAAGCTTGGGGTGCAGTGCCAGGAACCTATTGACACTCCATGCCCCCACTCCTTTCCTTCCTTCCTTCCTGGGCCACCTCCAGCCGCTCCACAGCTCAGTGCTGGCCAGGCTGGTTGGTACGCCTGCACCTCCTCAGCGTGCCCTCTGATGGACTTGGAGCATTTTCATTTCTTACCCCAAAGCCATCGATAGGTTCCCTTTGGGGACACCTCGTTTGTTCTAGAGACTGTGATTCATCCATCTGCATGCTTGGCAGGCCTGCTCTGTGACCACGTCTCTTCCTGTGCCAGGTGCCAGACGCCCCTCAGGGACTCAGTGCCCCACGCGCTGCTTGAGCTCTCATGATGACCTTGTAGGTGTAGGAACAGACAAGGTGACCCAGCTGAGAAATGGTAGCCGAGCTCACGTTTACAGAGCATTTTTGGGTGCCTGATACTCTGCCCTGTGCCTCCCAGGAGTTATTCACTAGATTGTCACAGAGGGCGAAAGGGGCAGAGAGAGTCTGAGAGCTCGGCCCAGGTCACACAGCAGATAGCAGACGCAGATCTGGGCATGGGTTGTGCTAGCACGGGCCGCAGCGCCCACCTGCGTCTTCACATCACAGCCTGCCCTCGGGACCTGGCAGACCTGAGGCATTCAGCCTGGGCTTGTCACACTCTTCGTTTGGCACCTGCTTCTTGTGAAAATCAGGACATCTAAGCTGTGTCTGGGCCTCGGTCCCCACCCTGCCCTGCTCTCAGAGTCCCCGTGCACTTCAGTATGTGTCCCGCCCTGGGGCCGACATACACGAAACCTCTTCCAGTAGCTTTGGCCTTGACCTTGGTAAGGAGTGCGTGCACCTGAGCTGCCACAGCATAGAGGTCTTGGAACACTAGTGACGTTGTTGACACAGCGGCCCCATCCCTGGGGGGTCAGTGCTGCCGTCCTTGCAGCGTGATGGCCTCCCCATCAGAGGGAAGAAAGTTTGTTTCCTGAGCTGTCGTCTTCTGAGAACTCTGCAGAAATCTTGATGACTTTCATGTTATGTGGCTTGTCCTTCTGTTGACAGGGGAGTCGAGGAGAGGACACAGTTAGGTTAGGAGCCGGTGACCAGGGCAGAATGACCTCAAATCAGTTAAAAAAAATGGGCAGAGCACCTGAAAGGCGGTCATTGAGAGCAGAAGTGTGAGTGGTCAACAGATACGTGAGAAGGGCCTCGACCTCGTGACAACTAGGGAGCTACCTCAGCACTCCCACCGGGTTAGCAAAAATATGACAAACAGTGTCCAGCGTGGGCGAGGCAGGAGGCAGCCGGCGCCCTCGTACTCTGCTCCCGGGCACAGTGTGAGCACCCAGAGGCGCATGTTGGGCTGAAGGTGTTCACCTGGGAGAGCACGTCCATGCCAGGCCTCAGACCCACTGACAGAACAGAGCAGTGGCTGTGACCTGGGCCACTTACGGAAGACTAGACAGCCACGAAAGTGAAATCAAGTACAGACCCAGGCGGACGTAGCCCCATTCCTGAGGGACGCACAGGTGGACAGCCACGCCGTGAGCAGCAGTCAGGACCGTGGTCACCTGGCCGAGCAGTCCAGCCACCTCTACCACATCTTCACAGAGCAGCCTGAGTCTCAGGACATCGTCCCTTCTGAACCCGATGCCTTTGCTTCTTGTCGGAGGGGAGGGCTCACTTGGGAATGGGACGGGACTGTGTTCATCGCTGCACCCCAGTCTCTGAGAGACCTCAGAAAACCAGAGTCTAAAGCTGGCTGAGAGGACGGAGGCTGTAGCCTGTAAGTGCTGTCGTCACACGAGATGAAGAGTCTGGAGGAGGGAATGAGGGGGTGGATCAGAAGCTGGCTCTGGGGCCCCCCGGCCCGAGTTTGCTTCCCAGCCCTCCCCTCATTAGTGGAGTCACCGGTCAGACGTTCTTCGTGGGGCAGAGACAGGGTCCTGAGGCACTTTGTGCAGTTGTGAGTGCTGAGGACAGGCGGCTGGTGCTGCTGTGGGTGGCGGGGAGGGTGGACTGGCCTGGCCTCTGGCTCCAGAAGGCAAACACCATGCATGGGGGGACAAAGGGGCGGATTCCGGCTACAGGTGATGGGCAGCAGGGGTTAGGACCCCGGGCTGAGGCTCGTAGCCTCAGGCATGTTTCAGCAGGGGACCCCCGACCTGGGGAGGAGCAGGTTGCCAGCGAGATGACACCGTAACTGTGGTGCCGGTGGGTCAGGGGAAGGGAGAGAAACAAAGGAGGTGCAGCTGGGGGCTGGGGTCTCGTCTCCTAGTCTCCACTGGGTTTGCGCTGGGTAGCTCCTTCACAGGAAGTGGAAAACCTTGAAGGTTCTCTGAATTAACAACCTTCAGTCATGTGGTAGCAGGAATTTACAATAGATCTCTCACTCCCGCTTTGCTCACTAAGCACAGACTGCACCATGAGAATGGGAGGACGCCACACTCAGCCAGTGCTCTCTAGCCAAGACCCGTCTGTGTGCATACAAGTCTAGCAAAATAAGGCAAGCGCGTGAAGTGCTTTCAGCTGCATGTGCTTTATTAATATAAAGTGGATATGTTCCAATTAACTCATTCCTAGACGGTTCACTCATTCATCCATTTCTCAAAAGTACTGTGTGCAAAGCGATGCTGTCCATGGATAAGAGGTTCCCCTGCAGATGGCAGGAGGACAGATGGTGGGAGGGCAGGCGGTGGGAGGGCAGGCGGCGGGAGGACAGGCGGTGGGAGGACAGGTGGGGGGAGGGCAGACGATGGGAGGGCAGGTGTGGCGGTGGGAGGACAGGCGTGATGGCGGGAGGACAGGCGTGATGGCGGGAGGACAGGCGGTGGGAGGACAGGCGGTGGGAGGACAGGCGGTGGGAGGACAGACGATGGGAGGACAG